GTGCCTCTTTGTCGCTCGTTCCGCGCTCTCGCTTGCACTTCAAGCCTTAAATGGAACGCCTCAGAGCGAGGTAACGCCGCATGAGTCATGTTTTTTCGTGCGTGCAGCCGGCTCCATCGAATTATAAGACGTTGTCACGTCAAAAACTTTTTTATCGCAGACCTGTGTTATTAGAAAACTTAAAAACACTATTAAATTACTACTAAACTTAGGTTATGAATTATTCTGTTTATTTACACTACTGTTGATATATCACTATTCACTGTGCTATTTATTTCACTGTCAATTTATTTCCCGATTCACTTCTGCAACGGTCAATTTATTTCTTTTTCTCTCGGCGATCGTCTCTTCCTTTAAATACTCTTTTGTTTACTTTCTGGAACCCTCTAGAAACATCCGGATCGTTTATTTTTTCTTTGAACTGTTTAACTGCTTTCCCAGAACGCAGGTACGACACACACATTTAGAATCCCGATCACACACAAACACGTTCGTGCTCGCTACACCTTATTTTCATTTAACCGTTGTAATCTGTATGTCTCCGAAAATCACCATGTATCCCTTCTTTTTTCCCTGCTCAGGTAATGTAATATATGCTCTCGCTGAAAATTCGTCGCACGTACCGTATCGGGATTCAAAGCTGACCCGTCTCCTCCAAGACTCGCTGGGAGGTAACAGCAAAACCATAATGATTGCTAACATCGGTCCTGCAGACATGAATTATGAGGAGACAATAATTACCTTAAGGTATGCGTACCGAGCAAAAGCGATCAAAAACAAACCAATTAAGAACGAGGATATGCAGGATGCCAAGTTACTTGCTCTTCAACAAGAGATCGAGAGGTTGAAGCAACTCATTGCAGAAAAGGCCAATGGGCGAATGGTAAATATTGAAGAGTCGGAAGGTTCCGATGATGAACTGGACTTAGACGATAGTGATGATGAAGAACTGAAAAAAGAAAAAAAAGAGAAAGAGCATTTGATAGAACTCGGAAAAATGGAAGTAGACGACCTCAACAAAAAACTGAGAAATTTAGAAAAGCAAATGGTGCAAGGAGGAAAGAACATAGTAGAAAGTGTTAATGAGAATGAAATGCTGCTGGAACAGCAAAGGGCAGAAATTGCAGCAAGAAAGGTGAGCCATTGAGTTGAGATACATATTTTAATTCTCCTTAAATACATGTCAGAATTTATTCGTCTTTAAATCAGTAGAAACGTCCATTTTTCTTTTAATATTTTTAACAAATAACTATTGAAACATTCGTATGCCAATAAAATAAGTTGCACAGGCCCTGATTCAGTAAAGTATAAGTGACTCAACTAACGAAAATATTTTAAACTAGCTTCCCTCCGCGGCTTCGCTCGCAGAAATATTAATATTGTTTCTCCATAAAACCTTTTAACTCCCAATTTACCCTTACAACGTTTTAATTTTATGTAATGGCGCCATCTGAGATTTGAAATACAAACGTAACAACAACATTTCATCCTTTAGGGTTGATTTTTAAAAATTGCCGAAACACGTATTTGCTTAATTTCAACAATGAGCAACCGTCGAGTAAATCCGAGTATAAATAAAATATACCCCATGGAAACGTTGCAACCTCTTTTCGTTTGATTAATAATATCAAACAGCATATATACCAAGTTTCAAGTAAATTCAACCACAAATAATATATGTTTAATTTAAACATTGCAACTCCTCTTCATCACTCCTCCTCCCAACAGAGATTGAATTTTTATTATACCATTTTTGACAAATGAACGGCTAGACCAGGGGTCGGCAACCTGCGGCTCGCGAGCCACATGCTACTTTTTAGATGTGAAGCTGCGGCTCTTTAATTCCATACGAAAATGTTATTTATTTAATAAATAAAAAAAGAAAACATTTAAAAATCGTTCTGAATTGATTAACGAGGATTAGGCACTGATTCAGAACGATTTTTAAATG